CTTCTCAAACAAAAAATTGGCTAGAAAACCTTTAACACCACTTCTTGTTTTCCAATTTGCCACAATGTCGGACCGTTGCAAATCTAAAGCTAGAGCAATCTCCTCAGGTCTTGGGTCTTTCTCAATACCGGTGAAGGATAATTGATCAAGAGTAGGCACTCCTAAGAGTTGAGAAAACTCCTCCAGGGTAGGCACCAATTGGTAATCAGAAAATGTAAAGCAATTGTGTTTAGGGGTCAAAGAATTGAAAGAGTACCCCCATCATTTGTTCTTCAAAATTTGAGGTAGCTAAATTGATGAGACAACCATATTTCTTGGTGAACAGAGAATCATGAGGAACCCTTGATGCTAACTCCTTGAGTAGAGGAGGCACTTTTACAAAGCCGGTTCAGATAGTCTTTCTACGAATGGAATCCATGTCCTACAAAACAGACAAAGATAAATCCCAAGGTCCTTGAAATAATTAGTACAAATGCTATGGTATGATGTCATGATGTTATGTACAAATAAACATATACAAACAAAGTAAACAAGTCCTTAGGTTTAGGTTTGCATGAGGTTTCATAGGTAAGTACCCTCTTGAAGTTTAGTTGGTTCAACTTGTCCTAGAAAGTAATCGGGTTCTAGGGAATCTTAATATCATTGATCTTTCTTCATTGGACATTATCGCAGCACAATCAATCTTTTCTTGCGGCCGAAATATTCCAAAAATCCGATCTCAATAAACGTAGTATCGAATATCAACTAATTTTCAACTTTCCAAACCGACTATCTACAACTTATATTATCAAAATCAACACAATTACTATATACAACTTAAATATGATTTTGTTTTTGGTACAACTTAAATATGATACTTTTATGATTAAAAAAATCAAAGTAAACTCCATTATAATTAGAAAAAATACGTGTCGTCATTTTTGAAGTAACCAAAAGAACAAAATGATACTTAAGTTAAATGACGATGATAATGATAATAAGGGTGACAATAAATAGGGTTATGGGGCATTACATTTTCCACCATGAAAGTGAGAGATGAGCAGGTCTCCCTATCATCTTCATGGTACATAATCTCTAATGATTGTCCATCGATTATTATATACAATCAACGTTCATAAATTGACAATTGATAATTGAGTTTCCTCTCTTTTTACCTTATGAATGGTGAGGCCAACATTAAAAGACATTAAAATATTTATTAGGATTATGCTCCATTTCAACGTCATTTTTTTAATTATTGAAACTGGTCATGAGTGGTTGGACGGCTTATATTATTCTTAGTTTAAGGTATAATGCATACAAATTAAATTATTGGAGTTAGTTAATGAATTCCATTTAAAAACCCAGGAGTATAGTATTGTTGAGGAGAACTCAAATTTAAATACCATATAGAATAATTTATTTTTTTGGATTGGTTTCTGTTTGTTGGTATTGCTTGATTTGCAAATTAATGAGTGATGAAATTTAAAGAGATGCAAGAAGTAACTAAGGAAAGAAAGGCTTGGTATTAATGATTTAGATCAATTACAATTTACAACCATAAGGAAGAGTTTATAGAGGGGAAAGTAACTAATCAAGTAAAATTTAAAACTATTAGTGTGTGACTTGCAACACAATCATTAAATCCTCCTCATTACAATCAATTAACCTTATCATTCCCGTCATCGCTTTGAGACTTTCAAACTTTGTTTTTTTCAAAGGCTTGATTATTGTAACGCTCCATATTGATTTCATGATTATCGATTGATCCCACAAATCAATACGGGGTTTTTCAGTATATTTTGTCTTTACTAGCATGTTTTTTGATAAATTTTTTAGAAGGTCATCCATTTTAAAATTTCTCCAAGTCAAACACACTTAATTATGGAGTTCTTATGGAATGAGCTACCGAAAATAAGATGCATTTTGTTCGTATATGTAGTATCAATCAATTCATATAAGTCTTTCTTCAACCATGAAGTCTCATACCTGCACAACCTTTAAATCCCTCTCATTCTGATGTGTATTTGATTTTTCCCCTAGAAACTGCTAGGAGTGTCTCATTGTCATGCATCGTGCACCGACAACCACTCAATCTCCCTTAGGTGTTACATGTAACTATTCTCCGGCCTCTTCAGCCTCGGGTGTTACATGCCCACCAGTTTCTGCTTTGAGGGCATATGACCACTCTCCGACCTCTTCAGCCTCCAGTGTTGGATGCCCATCAACATGTTTTGTCCTTACACGCACGTTTTCTGGGAAACTTTTCAGAATGTCACACATCTTAAAATTGCTCCAAGTTGTAATACTCCAAATTTGTCCTACTTTTTGATAAAATCATCTGACTTGTGCATCTCATAAATCTCATATACATATCCTTTATTTCCTTATTCAGGTGCTGATCAACATGGTTTCTTATAGTGTTTGGTGAATTAGTGAAAGACATAAGTTTTTGGTTCATTACTTGGATTACAAGTTACTGCGTGGATTAGAGTTCTTATCAGCATTAAAGGATTGGCTCATTTGGTCCTCACCATCACTTGAAGTTGTCTTTTATTACTTGTTATACAAGTCTTGGCATTGGATCTTATGCAAAACTTTTTGGGCTTTTATCCATCATTTCATTCAAAGTGATGAGATCAAGGGAGAAATCATGATTCATTCAAGTTACATTTGAAGACACTTAAACATGGCAATCCATTCAAGATTATTGAAACAATGAACAATCGAAAGTTCTAATGCAATTTGAAAGAGAAGGTCGCTTTGAATATTTTGTTTTTACTATTGAATTTCCAAGATAAACATGTTTCACCCTAGATTTCCATGGGATTATGCAACACAAGATCAAAAGAACTTTGAAGTTTGGAATTCAATTTCGAAAAAAAAGAGAACATGTTGATCACTTAATGGTTTGTCATTGAATCTTCAAAATATTACAAGGTTAAACCAAGCCAAATTCATTTACACATTACATTTCATTACAAATACATACAAAATCTACAATGTCCTAAACTTAAAGTCTAACTTCAAGCTTCCATCTTGTGATGATTCCATTAAGTTTCCTCACTTCCTCACCTGTTGAGACTTCCATGCCATGTACACCATGCCAAAACCAAACCTGTTGTTATGACATAAACCAAACCTGTTGTTATGACATAAACCAAACCTGCATAATCAAATGAAAAATCATATAATACTATGAAGCTATTCACATAAATAATCATGCTTCAAGAGGCCATTCCAAGTCACGATGCATACAAGAATGAGTGAGCATCCCGTTCAAACTCTACAATCACTATATCAGTTCAAGCATCAGTTCAGAATGAAAAAGAAAAAACTTACAATAGAAGACAATAAGTAGCCTATTTCATTTGCAAAACAGTCTAAAAATTGACAGCCTATCATGTCTAACTGAAGAAGCAGAAAATGGTTATTTGTATAACCACAAAACCAATTCCATTACCCTGCACAACAAATAAATTGTATCCATGTTCAAACAGCAAAACAAAAAGGCAGAAACAGAAAACCAGAAAATCACTAGAACATAATCCTCTAACAGAATTTCAACTACCTTAAACCCTAACTAACCCATAACAGTGTTTCTGGCTCAGCAACTAACCAACAACCTGTAACCAGAGTTATTAATCCCAAATAGCGGAGCAGAGCGGCCGACTCCCGGGAATGGGATAGGTGGGAATAGCAGGATCCCGGATAGCGGGATAACTTTTTGTATACTAATAATTATATAATAATCTATAAAATATATGTCATGTAATACTAAACTAATTTCACAACACTCATAAAATATTTATAAAATCTAATGTCAAACAAAGAACAATGCTTAATCAAGATTCAAAACATAAAGATTCAAATTCAAACTTAGTACTATCATATGAAAATTCAAGAAAACATAAAAATCATGTAGCATCATCAAAATATTCCACCAATTCTTCATCTTCAATTTCTTCAAAATAGAAAGAAACAATATTTACAACAAAACAAAATAGAAGAAGTAGAAAGTAGAAAGAAATAGTAGAAAGAAAAGAAGTAGAATAAGTTGAAGAATTAGAAGAAATTACCTGAGATGGCAGAAGGAGATGGAGGAAGAACCGAAGAAGGAGAGTTGCAAGGAGATGGCGGCAGAATCGTAGAAAGAGAGTTGAGGAATTATGGCACGATAAAACACAGTGAATGAGGGAAAAAGAAAACAAAAACTATTTTAAAACAGAGGCATTTAAGTAATTTGGCCCAAAAAATTGTTTAAAAAGAAAAGAGAACAGGAGCTGCGCCGTCCGAGAACTTTCCGCTACCCGCTACTCAGAAACACGGCTGAAGCGACCGCTTTTTCATCTCCGCTACCGCACTCTAAATAGCACGCGGGGGTGTCGTACCGTTACGGTGTGCCGCGATAGCGGCTGGAGCGCCCTCTATTGACAACTCTGCCTGTAACTAACTCTAACCAACTCCAACTAATTTTTCTAACTCCATAACCAACTGTAACTAACTTCCTCATCTCCTAACAACCTGGTACTAACCCAATTTTAAAGTAACAAAATTTCGCTTCTAGAACCAAACTGTCAAAGCTCACTTCTAACTGACTATACCAAAAATTATTGAACTCGGAAAACTCAGAAGATAAAAGGGAAGGGTGAAATCTAAAACAGTGAGAATATAAAATCAGAGGAGAAAAAGTATCAGAGATTACAACTCATCAAATTTTCATCAGTAACATCTGCACCATCCAAATCTCTAACTAACTCTCCTAATTTATGGCTCAGATTGATTCAATTGATAACCAATCTCCTAACAGATATAATAGAAAGTAGAGAGGGGGATTGATTCACGATAAAAAACTCTAACAAAAATATAAATGGATTCTCACCTGCTTCATGCTCATTCTTCAACTTTTGGGAAGAATCACCATTCTGTAGAAAATTATATTCTCTCTCTATTTCATCTCTGTATTAACCAATCATTTTCACAAATATCTTAGATCATTGTTCATTCTCTACAGTTTCTCTATGAACTTTCAGAACCACTATTTCATCATCATCATCATCAACTCAAGTCTTCAACTTGCTTTAACATGTGATCTACACATAATTGCACCTTCATTATGCATCAACAACAAATTGCATCACAAATTCTTCACAACATACCACACAAATAGAGGAAAAATCTCAGGGATTGATTTCACGGAGAAAAAACCAAGAAGATTCATAGAGGGAGGGAGGATGAAACATTCCACCAAAAACGATTCATTCTCACAAACTCACCAGGAAATATCTTCAACCCTGAATCTGCAAGATTCTTCACGCATCTTCATCTATCACCTACTGCAACCTTCATCATCTCATACTTCAATCTTCAATCAAATCTGCAACATCACACACACTTTTTACGACAACCTTGTCTTCCTCAACCTTCGACAATCCTGACACTATCGACATTCACCATCAAATCTCACAGTTGGAACAAGAAATTTGAATCAGAAGAAGAAGAGGCAAGAAACGAAAATGGAGATACCTAGCAATCAAAGCTTAAATCTTCACCGAGAGACTCGTCGTCACCGTCGCTGTTTTCGCCAGTAAATCGCCTTTTCTCTTACGATTCTACCAACTTTCTTGACAACAAAACATGGTTTTTGACTCCTGAGTATTTTCCCCATGTCTCCGGTTTGAGTGTGTTCATCATCAGGTTTTTTAGGGTGTTTACTGTGAGTTTAGAAGGGTTTGGCGAGGAATTGGAGAAAACGGGTTTCAGATTTGGAAAGGGGAGAACGGTGAGTGCATACGATAAATGAGGCCGTGAATGGTAACGAGGAAACCGTTGAAGAAAGAAGAAAGGGAAGGAGGCGCCATGAAGAGATGGGGAAGAACGAGTTTGTAGAGTTGATCCGTCACATAACCTCACAACCCTATGTTATCCAATCGTTGCGTTTTCTATGTATTCATCTATTATCTCATTTCTTCTTATTCAGAAAACAAAACAATAAAAAATGAAAAAGGCTGGATTGGTTTGGGCTGGTGATCCTTGGACCTCTATTCGCACCATTTCGGATTCATATGCCTCCCTGTTCTTATTTATTTTCATTTTGCTCTTACAATTTTGTGCAATTAATTTCTTGAGTTTCTTCCATAATTTTTTGCTAAAGTTTTGTGTGTATGTTAGCATATTAGTCCCTGACTTGATGATATTTTTCTTATTTTTTAATTCATTTTGGAATTATTTGAATAAAGGTGTAAATATAATGAAATTTAGAGTTGCTTTATGTTCCTGTTGATCTCTCCTTGTTTTAATCCAAATTTTGACATGGTAACTGATTTAATAACAGGTCTTGAAACTTAGGAGTTTGATTAAGTGTTTACTTCTATTTGGGATCATAAAAAACTCTTGAAATGTTTGAAATCAAGTCCTAATTTCATTGAATGTTCATTTGGGTTGCAAACTCTGAGATGGATTCCTTAATGCTGCTTGTGTAAGATAATAGTTCTTGATCCATTACGCTTGTTGGTATGAGTGTGGGATAATTTTATTGAAGAGTTTCAAGAGATATTGGAGTAACTTTAGACTGCAATCTTCATCAAGGAAATTCAAGGACGCTTTCGGGAGAGTTTTCTTACCGCTTGCGTGGCTTTGAAGAGGCAACGAACCTTCCCCATTAGGTATCATCGTGACATCATTTTATTCCTCATTTCCATACTTTATCGCATTTCTTTACTGCCTGATGATGTCGTGAGAAGTAGGGTAGAGATGTATGAAGGGGATCTCTGTTGTTGATCATGTCAGGAATCCCTCTGGTTTATTTAAAGACTCGCTTATGGCAATTCTGTATTGTGTACTTTTTGTGTGTTATCTGTGTTTTTTTAAAATTCTACCTTTGAAGTAGGTATTCTGCACATGTGTTTATATTTGTGCCCACATATGTTACAGGTGATAAGTCCTCAAAAGGAGGCGAGCGAGGAGGGTTCGTAATCAACCCCCGCGATTTCGTTCGTGTCATCCTTAGCTCGTGACGCACCATGGTGATTTAGAGTTGTGCCTGCTCTTATTACTGAGTCGTCAAGTGGGGAAGGGTTCCGTAATCGAACCCACATGCTTTGTCAGGAGTTCGCATTGGTCGATGCTAATATTCTGTAATCGTTCATATCGTCTTCTATCTCCTACCTCGGTCTTCTATATCTTGGTTAGGTGTTTAGTCACTTTAGACATCACATTTTTATTTTACATCCTACTCCCGCTTGTTTGTCTCGGGTGATACGTACCCCTTGACTAAAGCATTTCGTTTCTTTTCCTTACTATTTTATGTGTGTGCTCTTTCGAACTTGTTTGTTTTATTCTTATACATACCATGTTATCTTAGGATATGCTTGTTCCTTTCGGATGCAAGTTAGACCTTAGGTTGCAAACCATGCATGCTAACATTAGGTAGAGATTTTCCTTTCATCCTTGACGTAGGGCTACCATTGTATGATAACATTAGGTTTAGAAATAGGCTAGTCTCCCTTAGACTCTTTTCTCCCCTTTTTGCATATGCATCTAAAACCAAAACCTTTCTTTTTCTTAGCAAATCATAAAACACCTTAACCATACTTAAACCCTTTTTCAAGGTAAAAAAACATAAACTAATCAAATATGGCATCTTGCCTTGAGGGCGTAACTGAAAACCATTTTCAGGTAAGGACATGATTAATTTACTTTTGTGCCAACGCGTGAGTCTCCAAAGGTCGAGCAGCGGAAGAAGGCAGAATTAACATTGTTCATAAAAAATACAAAACAAACAACAACATGTGAGCTGAACTACGGTAACTCTGATACCTCAAAAAGGATATGTAGACATTGGAGTAGGGCCCAAGTGATCACAACTTTATTTTTCCTACATTCTTTTCTCCTTTCTTTTACATGCATTCTTCCTCAGTAGTAAACAGTAAGCATAGATTAAACACACCCAAAAGATAGATAACAAGAGTGGATACCGTAGGGTACTACGAGCGTAACGGGTGCTAATACCTTCCCCCCGTGTAACAAACTCCTTTACCCGATCTCTCGGTCGTAAGACCGTGACTTCTCCCTTCTCAGGTTTTCTCGATGTTTACCATTCCCTTCATGTGGGATAAAATACGTTCGATGGCGACTTCATTGTCTGATGATTTTCAGCCGGTTGTTTTACAAGTCAAACACACTTAACTATGGAGTTCTTATAGAATGAGCTACCGAAAAGAAGATGCATCTTGTTCGTATAGGTAGTACCAATCAATCCATATAAGTCTTTCTTCAACCATGCAGTCCCATACCTGCACAACCTTTAGATCCCTCTCATTCCAATTATGAATTTGGTTTTTCCCTTAGAAGCTGCTAGGAGTGTCTCATTGTCATGCATCGTGCATTGACAACCACTCTATCGCTCTCGGGTTTTACATATAACCACTCTTAGGTCTCTTCAGCTTCAGGTGTTTTATACCCAACAACTTCTGCTTGGAGGGAATGTAACCACTCTTTGGCCTCTTCAGCCTCGGTGTTACATGCCCACCAATATGTTTTCTCCTTACTCGCACGTTTTATGGAAAACTTTTCAGAAGGTCACCCATCTTAAAATTGCTCCAAGTCAAACACACTTATCTATGGAGTTCTTATGGAATGAGCTACCGAAAAGAAGATGTATCTTGTTCGTATAGGTAGTACCAATTCATCCATATAAGTCTTTCTTCAACCATGCAGTCTCATACCTGCACAATCTTTAGATCTCTCTCATTCTGATATGAATTTTGTTTTTCCCCTAGAAGCTTCTAGGAATGTCTCATTGTCATGCATCATACACTGACAACCATTTCATCACCCTCGGGTGTTACATGTAACCATTCTCCAGCCACTTCAGCCTCGGGTGTTACATGCCCACCAGCTTTCGCTTTGTTCATCCCCAAACCACATCGTACTGGGAGAGGTCTAACTCTTATATCATTTATAATGCCACAGACTGCTTTCAGGACTACCGACTAACTCCACAAACCAACACGGATCTTTCCAGCATATTTTTATCACCACTCACACGCTTTATAGGAAATTTCCTAGAAGGTCATCCATCTCAAAATTGCTCCAAGTCAAGCACGCTTAACTGTGGAGCTTTTATTGAGCGGGCTACCGGAAAGAAGATGCATCTTGTTCGTATAGGTAGTACCAATCAATCCATATAAGCCTTTTTTCAATCATGCAATCCCATACCTGCACAGCCTCTGGATACCTCTCATTCCAATGTGAATTTGGTTTTTCCCCTAGAAGCTGCTAGGAGTGTCTCATTGGCATGCCTCGTGCACTGACAACCACTCTCACCCTCGGGTGTTACGTGTAACGACTCTCCTCCCTCTTCAGCCTCAGGTGTTACATGAGACTGCATGGTTGAAGGAAAACTTATAAGGATTAATTGGTACTACATATACCAACAAGATGCATCTTCTTTTCAGTAACAAGTTCCATAAGAACTCCACAGTTAAGCATGCTTGACAACGAGCAATTTTGGGATGGGTGACCTTATGAGAAGTTTCCAGGAAAATGTGTGAGTGAAGACAAAGCATGCTGAAAAGACCTGTGTTGGTTTATGGGGTCAGTTGATAATCCTAAGGCATTTTGAGGCGTTACAAATGGTATCATAGGCGTACCTCTCTCAATACGATGTGGTTCGATGATGAACCATGTGGAAGCTTGTGGACATGTAACACCCGAGGACGAAGAGGGCGAGGAGTGATTTCACCGCATGTAACACTCGAGGCCGAAGAGGGCTAAGAGTGATCGCCATATCGAAATGAGATGGATCTTGAGATTGTGTAGAGAAGAGACTGCATGGTTGAAGGAAGACTAATTATAAGAATTAATTGATATTACCTATACCAACAAGATGCATATTCTTTTCAGTAGCATGTTCCACAAGTTCTCCACAGTTAAGCGTACTTGACTTGGAACAATTTTGAGATAAGTGACCTTCTAAAAATGTAATCATTGGAGGCCTTGTTTTAATAATTAAAATTAACCTTTTAATTTAAATAATCGGACAAGTTCTTTTTCATTTTTGATTTCTTTTCTTTTCTTCCACTTTCTTTTCCTTCCATGCATATAAAGACAGAGAGGAAAAGCTCAACTTAAAAGTAACTATATATGAACCTCTAAATTATTATTTGCTATAAATAAAAGAATTACTGAATAAAAAATTTTTAAAAAATGAAAACTCATTATATTATTTTATAATATCATCACGTAGTTGTACATCAATGAAAGTGTAATTTATCATAATATAAAAGCATGAGTAACAAACATACATAAAATAAAAATAAGTGTAAAATTGTAATTATTGTTGTTATTCACAACTCTTTCAAAGCAGGTGTATGCCAACTTTTCCAACTCTTCTTTTAAAACAAAAGCAGCTGACCCACAACTTCTTCTGTCTACC